GCTTCCAAAATTCTCTCTCATTCATTAACAATGTTTAAAAAAAAAAAAAAAACAATTTTCTTTGAACGACTTCCCGAGCATTTATCAGTTTTTGTGTCGATAACAACACACTGCAATTGAAGAGGGAAATCCCTCAAGGAGAAATTCATACGGGTATAGCACCGCTTACGATATGAATTAGTATAACGAGGTTAATCAAGTCAAATCAGAACAGGAAAAAAATCTTGCTCAGTTGACAGCAACACCTGACCAAAGATATACGCTCGGTACGTGTGATCAAGTGTGCACAAGTACTGCCCCATATTTTGTGTATACGCTCAATACCTGAATCAATCTAGTTCGCTGCCTTATTAAGCCTAAAAAACGAACATACCAATGAGGAAGTTATATCTATCAAAGGAAAACGCGCAATATTATGCCTCAACACGCGTATCCCTCAAACAAGTTGCCTATAGGCCTGCGAATCCCTGAATAACTTTGATCTTAAGTAACCACCGAAGTGTTAACTCGACTTAGACATAACCCACATTAAGCCTCAGAGCTAACAGTCATTTTATGCCTAAAAGCAAGGCAAAATGCGACAACACAAATTAGGCAGCAATGAAAAGGATAGAAATGTAACAGACGATCAACACCATAGCCAAAACAGCACAAAAACTTCCATAGTAGAAAATGTTTGCATGCACAAGTTACCAAGGATGACCATCAGTGGAATCCCTCAGCTTTCTATTTGCTCACCAAACAGAACTTATTAGTAGGGCGAAACATAATCCTTGTGTCCCAAAAGAGAGAGAGAGAGAGAGAGAGAGAGAGAGAGAGAGAGAGAGAGAGAGAAGGTTCATAGTGCCCTGTATAACGAGGGTTTGTGTTGCATCTAATTTACATGGTGATTGGTAGTGCCTAGTTGATGATAGTGCTTTGTTTTTAATGGAATATTATTATGCACGAGTTTCATAATGTTGTGTAAAACGAGGTTTTATGTTGCCTTTTATTGTTCGTTGTGATTGGTAGTGCATTGTTGTTGGTTGTACTTTGTTTTTTGCAGAATATTATGTGTGGGTATAATTTGATGAAAGGCGCAAAATTGCTATGTTTTATTCGAGTTCATACATCCCTCTCGTTCTCGTTAGTGCACGTAGATGATAGGGATTGTTGTCGGAGTGCCAGTCGTGTTTGGTATCGCTATTGTCATTAAAGTCGAAGGTAGTGTTGAAAAACTAGATCTATAATAGATGTTTCTGTAAAAAAAAAATTATGTCGTATCATACAGTTTATGTATGCTTCAAAACACGAGGATAAACCTAAAAGCATAAAGACACATACGTTTAAAGAGGAAAGTAGGTGGGTATGGGAGACGAGGGAGGTGACCGGGTAGAAGGGAGTCGACCACTGAAAAACAAGGAAAATCATGCCCAGGCATTGCTTGGCAGTTTCCATATTCTATTTGTTTTTCTATATTACTTTCGACTAGTTTTGGGGGAATTTTTCTTCTCTTGTAATGCTTTCGACTATATATAGGGTACAAGGTCACCAGCCCGTACGTACGGAGGTCCCCGAGACGACCTCCGAACATACGGGCGTTCGGTGTCCCGTACGGGGTTCGAACCCGACGACGTTCGGCCCCCGCCGAAAATTATTTTGGGGCCTAAAAATATATATATATATATATATTTTAACGTTTTTTTTGTAAGTTCTCTATGACGTGACGTACATGCCTAAAACGTTTGACGTCATTTGGCTCAGCCAAATAAGAATTAAGAATCCCCAAAGATGGCGGTGTCAAAACATGCTCGCCCATCTTTTTTTTTACTTTTACTTTGTGTTTTCACTTTAGTTCGGGGTCTAAACAATTTTATTATTTTTTGGAACTTTTTTCTTGGGTTTTGTATTATGTGAAGTACACATTTGTAAATTTTCAGGGCATTTAACTATGATAAAAAAAAAGAAAAATCTCCAAAGATGGCGGTGTTGAAAACGTGTTTGTGCACTCACTAAATTTAATTCTCTTTTGATTTTTTGTTATTTTTATTATTAGTATTTGTTCTCCATATTTTATTTTTATTTCAAATTTGGTAAGGAATTTGGATGTAATACTCAGGCAAATCTTGTTTAATTTATTTTTCTTCATAACATTTTTTTTCCAGATGATATTGAATTGTGGTTTTTTTTTTTTTTTTTAAAGGTTCGCGTTCGGCCGAAACAGCCGAACACATCCGCAAGGGGTCCCATACGTTCGGGCGTTGGGGTTCAGGCGTTCGGCCTGTCCTGAATGCTATTTACCCTGTATATATATATATATATATCGTCCTCCTGATGAGTCGGTGAAACTCCGACGAAACAGTTTGTCACAGCCCCTCGTTTGTTGTCCTCTTCTCTCTCTCTGCCTACGGTTTACCGGGCAGTTCTGTTTGTGACGATATATATATATATATATATATATATATATATATATATATACAGGGTTACTGGCGTTCGGGACGGGCCGAACGCCCGAACCCGAACGCCCGAACGTACGGGACCCCTTCGGAAGGCGTTCGGCCGTTTGGGCCGAACGCGGACCAAAAAAAAAACAAAAAAACAAACAAACAAGTTTTTAAAAAATTCCGAAAAAAAAAACATGTTATGCAGAAAAATAAACTAAACAACATTTGCCTGGGCACTACATTCACATATTTTACCAAATTAAAATTAAAAATTGAATACAGAAAATAAACACTATGATAAAAATAAGAAAAAATAAAAAGAGAATTAAAATGAGTGAGTGTGCGTGCACCTTTTCGACACTGCCATGTTTGCCTATTTTTAATTATTTTTTGGCATTGACAAATGCCCTGAAAATTTACAGATATGTAGTTTACATAATGAATAACTCGTTTTTTTTTTTCAAAAAATAATAAAATCTTTTTGGCCCCAAAATAAAGTGAAAACAAAAAGTTAAAAGTGAAAAAAAACAAAATAGTGAGTGGGCGAGCACGTTTTGACACCCCCATCTTTGACGATTTTTAACGTTGTTTTGGCTGAGCAGAATGGCTTCAAAATTTATAGGCGTGTAGGTTACATCATAGAGAACTCACAAAAAAAAATTCAGAAAACAAAATGTATTTGAAGGCCCCAAACAAAATTTTGGCGGGGGCCGAACCTGGAGGTGTCCGGCCCCCGAACGGGACCCCGAACGCCGGAACGTTCGGGGGCCAGCCCCAGGGCCCCCGAACGTTCGGTCAGGTAACCCTGTATATATATATATATACATATATGTATATATATATAATATATACATATCTGTTTGTGACGATATATATGTATATATTATATATATACAGGGTCACCAGCCCGTACGTACGGAAGTTCCTGGGTCGTTCGGGGTTCCTTTGAGGGTCCGCCCCCGGAGGGGTTTGGCCCCCGCCAAAAAATATTTCAGGGCCTAAAATAAGTTTTTTTCCTATGTTACCAATGGTCCGGAGATCGGACGTCTCTCCCGGACGTCTCCCTGGACATAAGGTACCCCCGTCGTCCGGATTTCCGGACGACGATTTTTTGGCACTAAAAAAAAAAAAAAAAAAAAATTATGACAGTGTTGCGCATGCAATAGAGACCCCCCATAAAAAAATTCAGAATTTTCTGAGCATTTGGTGATAGGGTGCTATTCGGGGTGGGAAAGGGGGTACGAGGGGTTTGGTGGGGATAGGAGGGGTATAGGTGGGGATAAAAATCTTTGAAGATTTTTTTTTTTTTTTTTTCTACTGGCTCAAATGAGCCAAAAATTTGGTGGCATACACCTTATGCAAGGTCGAAGCCACATTATTTTTTATTATTATTTTTTTTTTGCGCTAGGTCGGACATCCCCTGTTCGGTCCGACGTCCGACCAAACGTCCGGTCGGACATCCCGGACGGTCAGGGGGGTCCCGGACCTCCGATAAAACAACCTAGTTTTTTTCCTATATTACTTAATCGGATGTCTGGGACCCCCCTGACCGTCCTAGACTGTCCGATCGGACAACTGGTCGGCCATCCGTTGGGGGCCCTACGTCGGATCGGAAAAAAAATAGGGGAGGGTTTAGGACACGGACTTGGGCGGTGCAAGGGTGGACTGCGGGGACAGGCGAACCTGGGGCGCCGACGAGAAGAATTGATGGAGGTCGGTACAGCCGCCAAAAGCGAAAAAGAAAAAGCCTAATTTAGGCCGTCAGATCTGTGAGATCAACTGCCCAAATTGGGCTATTTTCAAATTCGGCCCGCGCGTCTCGGCCCGCGTGTTGTCGCCATTGCCGAACTCCGAGGTCCACGAGTGCAACCCCATGCGCCATCGCCCGACCACATCAGGTGAGCCACCTTGCCTTCGTCCACCGCCTCCTCCTCCTTCTCCCCCCCTTCCTCCTCCTCCTCCTTCCGCTTCTCCTATCTTCCTCCTTCCGCTTCTCCTCTCCTCGTCCTCCTCCTTTTCATCTTCCTCCTCCTCCTCCTCCTCGTTGTCGTCCTCCTCCTTCTCCACCTCCACCTCCTCCTCCTCCTTCTCCTCCTCCTCCTCTTCTTTTTTTTCCTCTCCTCCGACGCTGTCGCCTCCTCCTCCTCCATCATTGGGCCCTCCTCCTCTTCTTCCTCATCATCCTCTTTGTCCTCCTCCTCCTCCTCCTCCTCCTCCTCATTGTCCTCCTTCTCCTCCTCCTCGTCCCCCTCGTCCTCCTTCTCCTCCTCCACCTCCTCCTCCGAGTCCTCTTTTTCCTCCTCCTCCTCTTTCTCCTCCTCTTCTTCCTCCTCTTCCTACTCCTAGTTTTCCTCCTCCTCCTCTTCTACTTCTTCCTCCTCCTCCTCTTCTTCTTCATCCTTCACGTTCTCTCCCTCCTCCTCCTCCTCCATCGCCGTGGCCTCCTCCTCCACCTCCTCCTCCTCCTCCTCCTCCATCACGTGGCCTCCTCCTCCCCAACCTTTTTTTTTTTTTGTCCGCTTTTTTTTTCAATCAATCAATCATTGATTGATTGATTGATTGATTGATCGGACAAAAGAAAAAGAACAAAAACAAAAAACGGGGAAGGAGGAGGCCGTTAACAAAAACAAAAGATGAGTTGCGGGACAAAGATTGGCGGGACAGGGAGGAAGAAGAAGAATTTGGGGAGGAGGAGGCCGTGGCGATGGAGAAGGACGAGGAGGAAGACAAAGAGGAGGACAACGAAAAAGGAGGAGGAGGAGGAGGAGGGGGAGGTGGAGGAGGAGGAGGAAGAAGAGGTGGAGGAGGAGGCTATGGAGACGGAGGAGGAGAAGAGAGAGAACTTAGAGGAGGAAGAAGAAGAAGCGGAGGACGAGAAGGAGGACGATGAGGAGGAGGACGAGGAGTGGGAAGAGGAGGAGGAAGAAGAGGAGGAGGAAGAAGAGGAGGAGGAGGAAGAGGAGGAGGGCCCAACGATGGAGGAGGAGGAGGAGGAGGCCATGGCGGCGGAGGAGGACGACGAAGAAGGATAGGCGGAGGAGGAGGAGGAAGAAGGAGAAGAAGAAGAGGAGGACGAAGAGGCGGCAGCGGCGGCGGTGGCAGCGGGGGGGGAGGTGGAGGAGGAGGGATGACGAGGATGGGAAGGAGAATGAGGAGTAGGAGAAGGAGAAGGAGGAGGAGGAGTGGGAGGGGGCCGAAGTGATTGGTCACCCGATCACTCCGCTGACCCTCCCCGCTCTTTGTCCAATCAATCAATCAATCAATCAATCAATCAATGATCGATCAAAGATCCCATCGAATCGATTGATTTGATAGGATCTTGATAAGTCAAGATCCTATTGAATCAATCAATTCGATGGGATCTTCGATTGATTGATTGATTGATTGATTGATTGATTGGTTGGTTGATTGATTGATTGATTGATTGATTGATTGATTGATTGATTGATCAGATTATATATAAATAAAAAAAGCGGGGGAGGAGGAGACGTTATCGATTCGGTGAGGATGGGGAGGAGAACGACGAGTACGGGGACAGGGATTGGCGGGACGAGGAGGAAGAAGAAGAAGGGGGGGAGGAGGGGGCCGTGACGATGAAGAACGATGACGAGAAAGACGAAGAGGACGAGGAGGACGACGATGAAGGAGGAGGAGGAGGAGGAGGAGGAGGAGGAGGAGGCCCCGACGAGGGTGAAGGAGGAAGAGGCGGCGGCGGCGGCGGTGGCAGGAGGAGATGGCCCCGATGATGGTGGAGGAGGTGGCCCTGACAATGGTGGAGGAGGAGATGACGATGGGACAGGGATTGGCGGGACGAGGGGGAAGAAGAGGAAGCGGGGGAGGAGGAGGCCGTGGCGATGGAGAAGGACGAGGAGAAAGACGAAGAGAGGATGACGACGAAGAAGGAGGAGGAGGAGGCGGAGGCCCCGACAGGGGTGAAGGAGGAAGAGGCGGCGGCAGCGGCAGTGGCAGCGGGGGAGGAGGTGGAGGAGGAGAGACGACGAGGATGGGGAGGAGAATGAGTAGGAGGAGGCCCTGACCATGGTGGAGGAGGAGGAGTGTGAGGGGGCCGAAGTGATTGGCCACCCGATCACTTCGCCGACCCTCCCCGTTTTTTTTTCAATCAATCAATCAATCAACCACCCAACCCCACCCCCCCACACACCCCAAAGCCTGTTTCTAATTTGTTTTTCTGTTTTTGCTCGGAATGGCCCCAAAATGTTTTTTAGGGTTCCTCTGGAAGTGCGCAGATCCCCCTCCCTTTTTTTTTTGTTTTTTTTTGCTTTCCACGTGGCAAAAAAGCCGTTGTCCGATTTTCCGGACAACTCCCCCTCGACCATCTCCCAGAGACGTCCGAGGGAGACGTCTTCCAATCAGACAGCTGGTAACGTAGTTTTTTTCCTGAATTTTTTTCTGTGAGTTCTCTATGACGTGAGGTGCATGCCTATAAATTTTGAAGTCATTTTGGTAAGCAAAACAAAAACTTAAAATCTCCCAGAATGGCGGTGTCAAAACATGCGTGCCCACTTACTATTTTGTTTTTTTATTCACTTTTTATATTTTGTTTTCATTTTATTGTAGAGTCTAAACGATTTTATTTTATTTTTGAATTTTTTTTGATGAGTTTTGTATTATGTTGAGTATACATCTGTCAATTTTCAGGGCATTTGGGTGTGCCAAAATAATTTGAAAAATCGCCAAAGATGACGGTGTCGAAAACGTGCTCGTTTACTCACTAATTTTAATTCTTTCTTCATTTTTTCTTATTTTTATTATCATTTTTATGTTTTGTATTTTATTTTTATTTCAAATTTGGTAAGGGATTTGGATATTATGCTCAGGCAAATGTTGTCTAGTTTATTTTCCCTCATAACATATTTCGTTTTCAGCTTTGTTTGATTGTTTTTTGTTTTTTTGTTTTTTTCGGTCCGTGTTCAGCCTGAACAACCGAATGCATTCCCAAGGGGTCCCATACGTTCAGGCGTTAGGCCCGTTCCGAACGTTGGCAACCTATATATATATATATATATATATATATATATATATATATAGTTTGTCACAACCCCTCGTTTGTTGTCCTCTTCTCCCTCTCTGCCTACGGTTTACCGGGCAGTTCTATTTGACGATATATATATATATATATATAGGGTCACCAGCCCGTACGTATGGAGGTCCCCAGGCAGACCTCCGTACGTACGGGCGTTCGGGGTCCCGTACGGGGTCCGAACCCGACGGCGTTCGGCCCCCGCCAAAACTTATTTCGGGGCCTACAAATAATTTTGTTTTTCTGAAAAACATTTTATGAGTTCTCTATGACGTGAGGTAAATGCCTGAAAGTCATTTGGCTTAGCCAAATGAGAATTAAAAATCGCCAAAGATGGCAGTGTCAAAATGTGCTCGCCCACGTTTTGTTTCCCTTTTTACTTTTTGTTTTCACTTTAGTTCGGGGTCTAAACAATTTTATTCTTTTTTGAAACTTTTTTAGTGGGTTTTGTATTATGTGAAGTACACATCTGTAAATTTTCAGGGCATTTAGCAAGGCCAAACAAAAATTAAAAATCGGCAAAGATGGCGGTGTCAAAAACATGCTTGCGTACTCACTAAATTTAATTCTCTTTTTATTTTTATTTATTTTTATTATTAGTATTTGGTCTGTGTATTTTATTTTTATTTCCAATTTGGTAAGGAATTCGGACGTAATGCTCAGGCAAATCTTGTTTAGTTTATGTTTTTCCATAACATATCTTTTTTTCATATTTTTTAGATGACGTTTTTTTTTTTTTTTTTTTTTTTGGTCCGSGTTCGGCCCGAACAGCCGAACGCATCCCCAAGGGGTTCCATACGTTCGGGCGTTCGGGACGGGCCGAACGCCCGAACCCGAACGTCCGAACGTACGGGACCCCTTCGGAAGGCGTTCTGCCGTTCGGGCCGAACGCGGACTAAAAACAAAAAAAAACAAAGTTTTCAAAATATTCCAAAAAAAATAAAATATGTTATGAAGAACAATAAACTTAACAACATTTGCCTGGGCACTACATCCAAATTCGATACCAAATTTGAATTAAAAATCAAATACAGAAAATAAACACTATGATAAAAATAAGAAAAAATAAAAAGAGAATTAAAATGAGTGAGTGTGCCAGCACCTTTTCGACACCGCCATCTTTGCCGATTTTTAATTATCTTTTGGCATTGAAAAATGCCCTGAAAATCTACAGATATGTAGTTTACATAATCAATAACTCATTAAAAATGTTTTAAAAAATAATAATTTTTTTTAGGCCCCGAAATAAAGTGAAAACGAAAAGTTAAAAATGAAAAAAAACAAAATAGTGAGTGGGCGACCACATTTTGACACCCCCATCTTTGGCGATTTTTAATGTTTTTTTGGCTTAGCAGAATGGCTTTAAAATTTATCGGCGTGTAGGTTACATCATAGAGAACTAAAAAAATAAATAAATCAGAAACAAAAACTTATTTTTAGGCCCCGAAACATTTTTTGGCGGGGGCCGAACCTGGAGGTGTTCGGCCCCCGAACGGGACCCCAAACGCCCGAACGTTCGGGGGTCAGCCCGGGGGCCCCCGAACGTTCGGTCAGGTAACCATGTATATATATATATATATACACAGGGTTGCCGACGTTTGGGACGGGCCGAACGCCCGAACCTGAACGCCCGAACGTTCGGCACCCCCTCTCGACTCATTCGGCCATTCGGCCGATTGCGCCCGACAACGCCTGTTCCTCGCACTCCGCTCAACGCGCGGAGATGTATGCCTAGTTCAGCTGGGCCAGACAGTCCCAAGACTGTTCCCGACGATTCCGTGTGGGACAGCCAAGAGTGGTTGTGTCGTTCCACTAAACTAGACCCACACTCTCGATGTTCTAGAGTTTGTCTAGTCTGGTCAAGAGTAGCGCTCTCAAGTGTAAGTGGAAACATGTTTGCTATTTTCACGAGTCTGACAACACTGGATGGACTCTAGACTTTCTCCTAGAGTCTAGTGTAGTGGAGCCAGACCCATGGCCCCTGTAGGGAGTGTATGTTCTGGCCGGTTGGCACTCGCTCCACTACTCGGCATGATTTTGCACATTTGCAAAATCATACCGAGTAGTGGAGCGAGTGCCAACCGGCCAGCTCAATTGGTACACCCCTGAACTGCTGGAATACAGACTCAAGTTCGAATCCATATACCCTCAGATGAACAAGAAGTTATTCATATTGCCTGGGGTTGGTCAGTTCAATGATGATATCTAAAGGCCGTCGCCCTTCTGAAAAAAAGAGGAGTGGAGCGAGACCCCTACCTCCACAGTCGAGCAGGAGAGAGGGAGGCGGAGTGTCTGTAGTGTACTTGTGAGCGTGCGCGCAGGTGGGGGTGTGACTGCGCTTGGCGTGGCGATTCCATGCGCACTTCCGGGCAGACGCAGAGTAGGGCTTTTGCTCTTATGCTCTGGACGTGATTGCGGTCTGATTCATCCGTATGGTGGTAATTGCTGTCAGATACATATAGGAAAGTATTACCGGTAGTATGAGTATGCCCTTACTCGGCAGAGGCATTGCATGGTGTTCGGACCGACCGTCATCAACAACAACGACATATCCCGAGCTCGGAGCTCGCTGAGAGTGTGACACTGCGCGCCTCGAAACTTAGCCGCCATCGCGGCCCGGCTTAGGCTATTTTCGTTCACGATACCATCGTCATTCAACGTACTAAGCAGACAAGACATGATCAGAGCACGGAGATATCATATTCTGGCTATGGTGGCTATCGTGGTGGGAGAATAGAGATAGAGATGCGTTCTTGCTATTCTGGCTATGGTGTACGCTGTACCGCCATAGCTGCGCCTTTCAACTCAGCCGTTTCGCACTAGTAAGGGAAGCCTGGAGATGGCCGGGCTGAGCGAGCAGGGCTGTTTATGTCTGCCCATCCCCCATTTTGTGAAAATTGCTTCACAATAGAAGGTCGAAGAACGAAAGGTCACTACTGCGTGTGTTTGTTGTACACATCTTGGGTGTATAGTTGTGTGTGTGTGTGTGGGGGGATCAGAAAGTGGGGTGCACACACACACACACACACACACACACACACACACACACACACACACACACACACACACACACACACAGAGAGAGAGACAGAGTGAGAGAGAGAGAGAGAGAGAGAGAGAGAGAGAGAGAGAGAGAGAGAGAGAGAGAGAGAGAGAGAGAGAGAGAGAGAGTCGAAAATAAAGCGAATTTTGAAGAAAACGGCGAAGGAGCATTCATTCAATATGGTCCGGGGCACCAGAGGATCCTGCAATGGCGCGGTTCATTCTCTGCAAGCGCGTTTTCAGGAGAGCATATCTCAAAGAAGAGTAAGTAGCCGACAACAATCTCTGTTTTTTTATTCCTGATATTACGGCTTTCTTTTATAAAAATAGTGCAGTAAGTTTGTTTTAGCTTGCTTTCTTCGTTTTCTTCTTCTTCTTCTTCTTCTTCTTCTTCTTCTTCTTCTTCTTCTTCTTCTTCTTCTCCTCTTCCTCCTGTTTCTTCCTGTTCTTCAATTCTTCTTTGTGGTATGGCGCGCGCCAAGACGGGAGCCTAGCGGGTCGAAATTTGTGCGTTCTGAGAGTTTGCCCTTCATTGCTTGGCATTCGTGTCGGCAAGCCAGCCCCTTGAAAAAAGTCCTGGTGTGCGCGGCCATGCGAAATGCGCGTCGCAGAACGCGCGCGTTATGAACAAGAAGAATATCTGTGCGGGATCCCTAAAGGTTAGATGAAGCTTATATTGGTTTTCTGTTCATGAATGGATGCTTAGCGATTGACCTCAGTTCAATTCTTCTTCTTCCTCTTCTTCCTCTTCTTCTTCTTCTTCTTCTTCTTCTTTTGTGGTTGCTGGTGCTCGTGTTGCTATGTTGTTGTTGTTGTTGTTGTTGTTATTGGTGTTGTACAGTAAAGTTAGCTGTGTGCAGTGGGGGACAAAAAAAGAAAAGCAGTGTGCTGTTTGAATTTTTGCAATTTTAGTAGTTTCATTGGTGCTGTATTCCACTACAAAGTTTTTTTTGCGATTTTATTATTATGGTTGAGCAATGGTTGTTTGGGAGAGTCACCGCCGAAGTCCTGTTTTATATTCTTGAGCGAAATAAATGGGTAATCGTGAATGAATCTGATCGTGATCGCGACTACTACCATCTGTCCCCGAATATAACGCATCCTGATGATGAACCTATACCAAGTATGTTTCCAGCTCGATACAGTCATAATAAGGGTGCGTTGCTTTCGGGGGAGGACGGTAGAGAGGACGGTGCGTTTTGTATTTCTGCCTGCTGCCTCTGCCTGCGCGTCTGCGAGATCGAAATGCGAAATAGGGAAAAAGGAAAAGTGATTACTTTTCTATTTAACATCTCGAGAACTTTTTTTTTTTCAATTCTGCAATGCTCATTCAGGTATCTTCGCCGGTGATTTGCGTTTCCCTTGGTCTTTCTTTTTTCAGTTTTTTTTTGCCTTCCCTTTGTCTTTTCCCCCCCCCTCCCCCCCCCCTCTCCGGAAAGCTTATTGCAAGCCCTCTATACCAGTGGTGGTGAGAGAACCACCGGACTTGAGGGCTTGCCCTTGAGGCTGCTCCATCTATTGGTGGGGAGCGGCACCTGCTGGAAAATGGGTCCAATTTCCCATTGAAACAACACTGCAGAACTTTTATTCACTTGTGCTGGTTGCTGAGGCTGTGGCCTTTCCACTGTGCATCCCGAGGCTCCCTTCAAGGGATCTGTTTTTAAAAAAAAGATCTATTCAAGAAACGAAGCTGGCGGCAGCACATGTGAGTTGGATCCACGCCAGTCTCTGCGCGCGCGCGCGCGCGCCACAGAGAGAGAGAGAGAGAGAGAGAGAGAGAGAGAGAGAGAGAGAGAGAGAGAGAGAGAGTGTTTAGGGTGTCCTCAGACTGAAATTCTGGATAATGCGGACAATGCGGAAAAGATCGGACTAATGCGTGGATAACGTGGATTTGTTTTTCAAAAAATCGATGTTTTTGAGACACTCGATCAGGTTTGATATCCTAGGACGCAATCATTGTCTCACGGTGCCAGTTGGCAAGCCTGGCCCCAGGTATGCCACCTGGCAATTCTTACTCCGGGACATCCGTTAACTTTGGAACGATGCACAGAAGATTAGCATGGCCGCTGTAAAAAAAAAAAAAAAAAACAGGACAGGAGACAGGTTGCATCGGATAAGGGATGACGTGCGAGCATTGCACAGGGACAAATTTCTGGCATACCATAGGGCCTCGCTTGACTACACAACAGTCTCTGTATCTGGACCAGTCCAGATACATACAGACTAACTAAAAATTGTAAATGTATTTTGGCCAAAACCAGATCCAGATACATTTGGAATATTCTGTACTGGGGGGCCCATAGCAAAAGAAATAACGGACCAAAAGAAAGAAAAAAAGAGGAAGAAAGGCAATCCCACATCGCCCACCTCCTGTAGCAGCTCCCGCATGTTCCCTCGTTGGAGGCTTGAGCACCGATGTGGCTGCTACGGGGTTCCCCGTAAAATTATAATAACAATAAAAAAGGCCTGAAAGGCCGTCCTGGTAATTGAATTGGTTGAGTTAGCCTTAAAAAAAAAAAAAAAAAAAAAAAAAAAACACTCTTTTGAAGGTTTCCTTCAAAAAAAGGAAAGAAAAATCTCACAGATATGGTGAGACCGCCGCGATCCTGGCGGCGGTGCTGGCGGCGGTGCTGGCGGCGGTGCTCGATTGTTTCTGAGGCAGATCTGAAGAAAATGTGTAATTGCCCTTCTGGTTGTTTTCTATTTTGCACCGGAATGCCCCTCACAGACAGACACGGAGGCAGAGACCATATTTGATCTAATATCTATCTATCTATCTTCTATCTATCTATCTATCTATCTATCTATCTATCTTCTATCTAACTACTGAAGGATGGATAGGGCCCCGGACGTCGGTTCCCCTGGCCCCAGGAAAAATGAGGCCCGGACGTCGGTTGGATGGGACAGGCGCTGTGCAACGTTTCGTTGTTGTTGTTTTTTTGTCGTTTAGTGCACATTTTCTCACGTCGCATTTTGCAGGGCGCGGCTTCGAGGGCTCGTGAATTCGGGCGCGCGTTTAGACACGGCGGCCTGTTTCGACTGGCCTTTTTTTGGGGGGGCTGGCTGGGTTGGCGCGTTTGTAGACTTACCTTCTCTCTCTCTCTCTCTCTCTCTCTCTCTCTCTCTCTCTCACACACACACACACACACACACACACAGAGAGAGAGAGAGAGAGAGAGAGAGAGA